TGGGGTTTGGAGGTTTTTGTGGGGTTTGGTTTTTTTATGTTCTAACTAGTCACATTTGAGCTTAACAAATAAAAGATTTTCCAGGAAAGGAGCCATGTACAAAAAAGACAAATGGAAAAATTATTTTATTAGTTTGTTTGTAAAGCTTGTACTAGAGTCTTTGTGATAGACTGGACTCTGCCTGCCTGTACAAAATTTTGTGGTCCAGGTTCTCAAGTCTAATATTATAAATGGTGTAAAGTGAAATCTGGAGTCTCTAAAGGTAAGGTGTCTTCATAGAGTGATAGATTCCCTCTGTAATGTGTTTCCTGTATTCATAACCAAAACAGAAGGTGCAAGTTCTAGGAATGTTTGATTCTCTTTTTAGTTTGTATCTTGCAGTGCTTTTAACTGTCTCTTATTTCCAGTCAAGGCAAACTAGTTGTTTACTTTTGTTTTGCTGTCTGTGTGTGTAGGTTAGCATAGAGGGAAGTGCTTAACTGGCATGCCTTAAGTGGAGAAAGCTTTCCTTTGCTTTGCATTTCCATCAGGCTGGGGAGAGTTGCACCATCCCAGCGAGTTTTAACTGGTACTTGGATTGTCTCTACAGGCTTTCAGTTAATGTCAGGATTTGTTTCCAAACTGTTTCTGTGAGTCAGAGGCTCTGGTCAGCAGTAGTAAGCCCTAATTATATTTAGTGTTGTTTAGACTGATATAAAATTGAGCTTGTATCTGAATGTCACTAAGTTTTCATATTCATTTATGGGATGGTGGCAGCTTTTAGGGACTATCTCAAGAAACACAATCCTTCCTATTTCGTAAGAAAAAGCCACTAACAGTAGATTTTGGGTGCCTTTTGGGTTTTAGATGATTGGATTTTATGTGCTTCAGACATCACTAGTTTGGTGATGTCCATACTTTGATGCATTCCATATGCAGTTTTCAATTACTGAAGGATTTTCTGAAAAAAAAAAATGTTTTGGAGCACAAGTAACTTGTTACTGAAATGTGGAAACACCTATGAAGAGGAGGGCAGGAGGGTTTCTCAGGTGCAGTATGTTTGTTCATTAAAAAAAAAACTTATAAGAGTCTTCAAAATTGCCATGCTTTCCATTTCTTTATTTAGATTTTGGAATTATCTGGATAATAGACAGTGAATGCATTAAATTAAGGTATTGGTAATATAAGTGTTAAGCAATAAGGATGAATTTCATGGTACACAGCATCAGAGCAAAATGTTGTTAACAGCCCATCCGAATTCTCCCTAAGAAAATAGAGCGTGGTTCCTGTAGATTTATAGTGCCTTTTATCCTAAAGGAGTCCAAAGCATTCTGTGAAATCTGAGCAGATCACACCAGTGGTAGCTGCTGACTAGAGAGTGACAGCCAGCCCCAGCCCCTTCACCCGCCCCGGCCGCGGCGACCTGACCCGGCAGAGCCACCCGGCCGTGGCCTCCCGCAGGACGAGCAGAGCGAGTGCCTCCCGCATCCCGGATCTACCTCAGCTGCTGCCCCCGGAGCCCTGCCAGCCTCCCCGTGCCGGCGTCCCCGTGCCAGCCGTGCCAGCGTCCCCGTGCCAGCGTTGCCGTGGTCGCCGTGCCAGCGTCCCCGTGCCAGCCTCCGGAGCTGCACCGCCCGGCCGCGGGCGCTGCGCTGGCTGCAGGCGGCAGCGCCCACATCGGAGCCACGCTGGGGGGTTGCTGTTTGATATCCTCTGTGAGAAATCGTTTTCTGTAGGAACTGTACATATTGTAAATAAAACAGCCCAGGGTAAACGCTGCATCGGTGTCTCTCGGCTCTTCATTTTGGAGAGGAGTGGGAGTTACAGCTATCAGGCCGCTCGGAACTCAGGGAGTTTTTGGTTAAATCAAATAGATGAAGTTTACAAAATTCAGCCAATTGTGTGTCAGGTATGGCATTAATAATGTAAGATGTGCTGGCCAGAAGGTAAAATCTGACTTGTATGTCAGCTTCCACATTTTGAGTCCTTGTTTTTCCTGAAACACTGAGGTGGAGAGTGTTTGATCTGAGAGCAGTAATTGTCGTTGTTGACTGCTAAATCTGCCTGGTCTTTGGGGTCAGAAAAATGGGGAAATGTTCATGTGTGATATGTCCTAATCTGGCTCCTGTATTCTGTTTAATTTCTGCCCCAAGTGATGTTGAAGTTAGCTGTATAGCAAGCACAGCAGGAAATTATATTTGTTATGGCTGGAAGCATTTTTATTTTATATTAAATAGTTATTTATTTTTTATTAAATAGTTGTGTAAAACTATTGTACCTATAAATAGTGGTGTAAAAATGTCCTAACTACTTCTGTTAAAAACCTCTTGCACATCTCAACTCATGTATTTATGTATTTTCTTTACTGTGTGTATATTCATGTGAATTTGGGTTTTGCACCTTTCCTGATAAATGTCACTGACTTGGTGCATTATTTACCACTAATTAACAGCAACAGTTGTGGTTTCACAGCCAGATTTTAAAATAGAGAAAAATCTTAGCATCCTAAAAAAAAGTGTGATTTGGTAAAACCTGTTGTGCTGCCATCTGTGTGGCTGCCTTTCATCCTTGTGGGTTTGGATTCCATTAGATCACAGTAGGTTGGGTGACTGGCGGGGACAGTCACTGACCTTGGTACAGAGGAGCAAAAGCTTGGGCAGCTGCTCTGGGAATGGCCTTGGGTGTTGAGGAGGCTGCAGAATGTTGGCTCTGGGTTTCATGTAGGGCTGGGAAAATGGTTGCTGAACAGTTTTACATGTATTGATTATGTCTTTGCACATCTCGCACTCAGAAGACTGGGGTTTCTGTGGTCTAAGGGCTGCAGTGGTGTAGGTGTTGAAGTAAAAATCGGTGTATATGCCCAGCCTAGCTTATCTGAGGTGGGATCTGCTCAGTAGGGGCAGTTTGTGGTGCACACTGACAGCTGGCTTAGGGTGACAGGGCTGGAGGGCAGTGCCATTCCTGAAGCTCGTTTCCACGGCCACCTTCAACCCCAGTGTCCATTT